TACATATGGTTCAGAACGGATTAACCGTAATTACATTGAACCTTATGGGAAAAGTTGATTTGGGACGCGACCAAATTTGGAGGGGTCAGAATGGATTAACCGTATTTACATTGAACCTTATGGGAAAATTTGATTCGGGTCGCGACCAATTTGGTTCGCGACAAGAGTCGCGGAACGAATTAAGTTCGTGAACTGAGGTACCACTGTACATGCAGGGAAATATCCATGTATGCAGTCATTTTGTCTAAAATGATCCTATTCCTGACCATAGTATGAATTTACTGCCTCGGGACATGTTCTGTTAACAACCTCCCAGAGTTGCTGGGAGTTGGGGGGATATAAATTTGATATTACATTATTATTTGGAAACTTTAAAATTATTTATATAACATGCAATCAAACTTTTTATATCTTATTACCTTTAAAACAAATAAATAGGATAAATTGTAGACAACTTTAGTAAGAACTATACTGTGCTTGAAAAAATGTTGATCATTTAATCCTTCTATAAAGCTTTTAGAAAACATAACTTGGAGGATGTAATTTTTGCTGGCTGATGTATTTGGATTTTATCCAAACTAGGTGCATTCTACTAAAACAAAGGAAGTTATTTCAGGCAATTCTCTTGGCTGCAAGAGTCATACATAAAAATAGTTGTTAGCTCTCATTTAAGTGTTAGATGATGCTGCATGGGAAGAGTTCCTCCTAGCTTGGGAAGGGTCAGGAGTACCATTTGGACAGCACTTTCTCAGATGAATAAAAATTGTATAATTTGGACAGGAAATGGTAAAAAGCTACTATTTAAGTTTTTTCTCCAGAGAACAACTGGAGAGTGTTGTATACTTTGGTTTGGATACATTTTACTAGGTGGGTTCTATGCTTGCAATCACATTTTTTCCACTTGACTCATAGGGAGAAACTAAACTTCTTAATCTATATTTGGTAATAATAATATATACTTTTATCAGAAAGGAAGAGCAATTATTAACTTTAAGAGTGATGAATTTAGTCTACCATCAAATCCAGCTGTGACTTATTAAGCAGGATATGGAAAAATCCCCAAAATATTCTAGAGGACAAGGAATTTCTACATAGGCTGAAATTTGGTCTAGCTGTTTTAAATATAAACTTGTTACATTACAGTATAGTTTTTTTAAACTATACTTTTTTTTTACTGTACTATTTATTAATTTGATGATGCCAGTGCTGAAAAAATAACTTTATGACTAGTGCCCGCATTTACGACCTTCACAGCATTCCTCAGTCACAAGATCGCTATTGCAGTCAGTACGCATTCTGTGCCTGACCTGTTTTTCTTTTTTCTCCTCTTGCAGAGTGGAAAGATTGGAGAGGAAGGGATTACAAGAGAGTAAGCAGGCACACAATGGGGAATACATTGAAAGCAGTGTGCTGGCACTGGCAGCCCCCCAGTGGGCCACGCAAACAACTCAGCGTATTCCCTATTGTGTGCCTGCTTACTCTCTTGTAATCCCTTGCTCTCCAATCTCTCTGCTCTGAGGGTGGGGGAACAGGTCAGGTGCAGGAGGAATTGCCTACAGAAATCTCTTGTTTGGGGGGAACAAAACCATTTCTGTAGGCAGTCTGTAGGCGGGCGAGTGAGCGAAGCTTCATCTGTATTTACAGCCGCTCCCCATCACTCACATTACCGCCTGAGCTCTGCCTCCTGTCAGATCAGTGGCAGCATTAGATTCTCATAGCGTGAACCCTACTGTGAGCTGCGCATGCGAGGGATCTAGGTTGCATGCTCCTTATGAGAATCTAATACCTGATGATCTGAGGTGGAGCTGAGCTGGTGATGCTAGCACTGGGGGTGGCTGCAAATACAGATTATCATTAGCAGAGAGGTTTGACTGCACAGAGACCATAATAAATCAATTTGCTTGCAGACTTATATCAAAACCCTATCATGTAATGCACTTGAATCATCCCGAAACCATCCCCCCGCCCCGGTTTGTGAAAAAATTATCTTCCACAAAACCGGTCCCTGGTGCCAAAAAGGTTGGGGACTGCTGCTATAGATGACATTAAAGAAAATAGAAAACACTTTGGTATGATTATTTTGTGTGATTGGATTTGATTCAAAACAAAAATCAGAACATATTTTGATTATCATTAAAACTATTACAAATAAGTTCTTTTTACTTACTCTAAGACATATGAAATCAGGAGTGTATTTCTGAAATAATTATTTTTAAATGTGAATACATTTCTCCTTGTTATTTACTGCAGTTTATATGCTGCTCCAGCCCAAATGACTGCATTTTTCCAGATTTCTGTGCTCTAGATTTCTAGGGATACTTTGTAGCATGCCAAACTGGAATTTTAGTATCTTTTGAGTAAATACTGTGCCAACAGTTCTCCAAACATAAATTTCCTGGATAGATAATTTACATGTCAACAGTTTAACTGAAAAGTTTTTTTTTTAAATACAGTACAGCTTCTTTATTTTTTACATTGTTACAAGAGTAAACATTTTGAAGGACTGCCATAAACAGGTTTTAGACATGAAATGCAAAATCTATCTAGTTTATTTTCTATATCAATTTAAAAACCCTTTATCTGAAAATAAAAAAATTCAGCTTATGTGGGATAAGAAATAGCCATAGAAAATTTAAAACATCTAGATTAAAAAAAATTGCTTTCTGCAGCTTCATCAGAAAGTTTAATATAAATCTAATGGAGCTTTTTGTGTAAAAACATATCCCAAGAATTGGAACTTCTTATGAAAAATATTTACAGAAATGAAATGCTCACATTTTCTGATAAGAGGGTTCAGTGCCTAAGAATGCTTCAGCATTATGAGAGCAGGCCTACTCTTCCAGTCCACAGTGTGTGGGCTCCATCTTTCCCTGGCCCTTTCAATAATCATAGGTAAGATATTGTGTATTTGGGTAGATATAACTGGCAACTATTAAGAGTGCAGTTTGACTGAAGAATAACAGCAGTTAAGAAATGTCTTAAATCAGTGATATCATATGATTAATACTTTTCCTGGATTTTGACTGACTGTTCAGTAAATCTGCATCAGAAATATCGACAGGTATGTGACTGTTACAGCAGGCATTTCCAGTAATGCCTGGCATCTGTTAACTAGTACACCATTCT